AAATAGCCTTCTTTTTAAGAATAAGACACTTTAGAACTTTGCTTAAATTCAAGTGTTCATATGCTTTTATTCTACTTGAATATTAGTGTGATATTGTGACACAATGAGAAATACATTTTTGGTTTCTACTCCCCTGTTTCTGCTTCTAATATCCCTGGGATTCCCTGAGTAACAGGAGAATCTATTATTTCTAATGATGTGACTCTTAGTGGGCTCCTGGATAAATTCCACATTCTATCCCTAAAAACAGGAGAGAAGCTAGTGATTGAATGAATAATCAATCATACTTATATCATAAAACATCCATAAAAATCCCTGAACTTTGGAGAGCTTCCAGGCTGATGAACTCTTGGAGGGTTGAATACCCAAAAAGGGTATCTCTCCCTTGTCCTATGCATCTTCCGTTTGGCTATTGAGTTGTTTCCTTTTAAAATAAATAAATGAGTAATAATAAGTAAACATGCTTTCATGAGTTCTGTGGGCAATTATAGCTAATGATCAAACCAGAGGAGTAGGTCATGGGGACCTCTTATTTACAGCCCATAATTCAGAAGTACAGGTGACAACCTGGGGCTTTTGATTTGTGCCTGACATCAGAAACATTCTTCTGAGACTGAGTCTTAACCTGTGAGGTTTATGCTAATTCTAGTTATTGCCAAAATTGAGTTAAATACTGCACTACATGAAGAAATTGCGGAATCTATAAAAATGCAATCAGTATCCACTAAGAACTGCTTAGTGTTTGGAGAAAAATTCAAATACATCTTGGTAACTGCATTTTTTTAAGATCCATGAAATTAGAGAATAGTTAAAAAGAAAAAAAAACTGTTTTCCCCCCATCTCTTACCATTAATCTGTTTTCAACTAATACAATTAAGACAATGAATGAAGATGAAGTTGACAGGAATCATCCATGCCTAGATCTCACCAGCAGAGGTCAGGAGAGGACAAGAAGTACAAGAAGGAATGGGTCTGTTTTTACAGAACATTTTGAAAATGGCAAGCCCATTAGTTATGTATTTTGAGTAAGGTTTCAAACCATGTAAACTTAAGGTATCATTTTTTTAAGAAATAATGGGCTCCAATACTGTATTCATCAAGCAAAATACTGCACTACATGAAAAAATTGCTGAATCTATAAAATAAATTCATAGTTTTATATAAACTCTCCTTATTAAAAACATTAATAAGCTCAAAGAAATAATATAATCCATTATTAATATTGTTCTCTGCAGATTAAATATAATAAGTGTGTTTGTTTATTTGCTTAATTGCCTGTTTGGGGGGACCCGAAACACTTGGTAAATACCAGCATTAATCCTCTTATGAGGAAGGATCACTATCCCAATTCTAAATGGAGAGCTACCTCATGTAAAATAATACATCTGCAAAGCTAGAACTAAAGCCATGATCACTTGATCACACACCAGCATGTCAGTATTCCAAATGGCAGGAAGTATATATGCTTCAAGGGTATGCTTTGTAACAACTAGAGCCTTCAGCAAGGCTATTTTCTTCACTGACTGTATTCAATTAAAAAGTAAAAGGAAAATTTTTATTAGTTTCCTAGAAGTGGAGAGCATGGCAACTAGATCTAGGCACTCACTGTACAATACATGAATTTAAAACAGAAAAACTGGGAGGAAATCTGACAAACTAAAAAGTTTCTAGCCTTAGACTGCTTTGCATAAGTCTAAGTATTCATTCCACTTTAAAGAAGCCAAAACTATACAAGTAGGAGGTCATGCAGTGTAAGTGTGGTTGATGTATGAAAGGCCTTCTAGAACCTCAATCAATAGCCTCAAAGTCCTGCCCCAATAAAAATTTGACCAATAAGGATAAAATTACATCTTATTTTAAAATAAATTATTAAGGTATGCATAATCCCTTTTTACTGATGAATGACTCATTATATTAAATTCATTAGAAACAACCAATTAATTATAAGCCTAATAGCACTGGATAGGGGGTCATCTGTTGTACGGTCTTTAATAAAAATTGAATTTTTTTAAAAAATACAAATTTAACAGCCTCTTTCAAGCATGCATCCTCTACTGGCGCTGTTTTATATTTTTTTATTCACTGTCCCATTTCTTTAGCCATCTAAATCACTGATTTGAAGAATCTAAGATGTTCTGGACCAGAAAATTATCATTATTATTATTATTATTTTAGTTGTAGATGGGCACAATATCTTTATTTTTGTTTGTTTATTTTTACGTGGTCCTAGGGACCGAACCCAGGACCTCACGCATGCAAGGCAAGCGCTCTACCACTGAGCTACAACCCCAGCCCCAGAAAATTATTTCTTAAAAGGTGGGAGAGGAAGAGGTCAATAATGGGTTACTGGATTTTTATTTTGTCAAATGTGGATGTTTTTTGTTTAAAAAAAATACCATCCAACATTTCTCTCCTTAATTTCTCAAATAAAACACATTTTTAAAAAAAATACTTGAAAGGATAATCTCTGCCAGTCTTCAAATCAGTAAGTACTTTTAGGGTTATAAAGAAGTCATTACTTCCATTTACTCAGTCCACACTTATTGAGCAGATGTGATATGCTAAGCACTGTTCTAAGTTCTAGAGATATAGCAATGATCAAAGCAGATTTTTTAAAAAGGGAGGAGGAGGCAGAAGGATGAGGAAGAAGTGGAAGAAGAGGAGGAAGAGAAGGAAGAAGAGGGAAGAGGAAGAAGAGGAAGGGAAGAAGGCAAAAGAAGCCTCATATAGATTACATCCTACAGGGAAACATAGACAAAATAAAACAACAACAAATTGTATAATTTGAAAAATAGTATTAAGATAAAAGAGAAAAACAAAGGAGGATAATTAACACTAGAGGAGAGACAGTTTTCAATTTCAGATGTGCTAGCCAGGGCAGTCTTATTCTGCAGTTGACATTTAGTAAACACCTGAAGGAAATGAGTCTTGCAGCTATTGGTGAGGGAAAAAACATTCCAAGAGGAAGCAGCCAGTGGAAAAGGCCTGAAAGAGGGAATGTGGCTACCATGTTCAAGAGATACTAAGAAGCCAGTCTGTGAGCAAGAGTAGGTGACTCAGAGAGCTAACAGAAGCTAGATCATACAGGGCTTTGAAGGTCATTTGAAGGACTTTCCTTTTAATGTGGATGAGATGGGGAGTCATCATAAGGTTCTGATCAGAAAGTAACATGATCTCATTCATTTTAACAGAACCTGGTTCTGGTTGTTTCAGAGAACACATGGAGGAAGGGGCCATGGCAGAGGTGGAAAGATAGGAAGACAAATTACAGTGGCCCAGGATAGTAGAGGTAAAGAGGGTGAGAAATCATCAGATTGTGAACACATTTTGAAAGCAAAACTCACAGTATTTGTTGACAGATGAGATGAGGGATTTGAAAGAAAGTCAAAGACAATTTAGAAGATTTAGAATGAACAACCAGAAAAGTAGAAGTTTATTTAATGTGATGGGAAACTTGTTAACAGGTGATTTAGGTACTGAACCAAATACTGTCAACCTGGGAAAAGATCAAAATTCAAAAACTGAAGTAATGTTTCTACTGAGGAATGTCACTTTTGTGCCACTGTCACTAAAAAACCTTAAGTGAAACCAACTGTAATAGCTAAAACAGAGCTCCAGTTAGGAGAGAAGATAGGGATAAAGACATGAAGGTAGGATACCCTGGTGGTATCAGTGGGTCAAAGGATTAGTTAAGTCAAGGCACTAAATAAAGAGGTAATAGTCAGAGGGTGGGGACAAATCCTTATGCTACCATTTAAAGTGGACCGCTCACCACAGGCAGAATTTACAAAGCAATCACCATTATTGTCACTTTTCATGCACTCCTCAGTGACATCTGCCTTCCCCACCACCAGCATTTCATTTCCTTTCACTAACACTACTGTCTAGAAACCACCAATAATCTTCCACCTTCTTCTAGTCAAGGGACACAGTGAATTTCTGAAAGGCAGAAACTGTTTTTCCCAAAGGCAGAAACTGTTTTATTTGATCTTAGAATTCTATGCAGTAGCTAGTCTAGTGCAAGACAAATAATTGCTACTCAATAATGCAGCTATTAAAAGAAAGAAATCCCTTTGCCAAAGCATCTAGGTTATGATACTGAGAGGGAGAACCAGAGAGTCTTTCAACTGCAGGAAGTGACTGTAAGGCTCTCTACACATGTACATGGCAGTTTTGCCTACATCTTAAGCTTTTGCTATAGTTTTGATTTTCAGAAAATTTTGGTATTAGGAAGATTTTCTAAAATGTTTTTCAAATTACAATACCAGTCTCAGCAGTCCTTTTCTCTCATTGGATATACACAAATAGACAACAATCACAAATGACACCTTCACTTTCATTCTACAATTCATTTTTGAGATCAGAAAAAAATGGCAAAGGAGAAAGGAAACTCTGAGCACTCTTAAAACATTCAGTCCCTACTTCTCACACTCATGAAGAAAACCAGCTCCTTGCTAAGTAGATGGAGGAAAGGTTTAAAAAAGAAAAGGCGGGGGTGGGGGGGGAGTAGGGGAAAAAAAAGGCTGACATGTTTACTATGTAACACTTGCCTAAGTCCTAAAAGTGTGAAGATACTTACTTGAACATATAAAATGGGTTTTGCTGTTATTTATAGGAAATTTATTGGGTCTCCTGAAACAGTTGTTTTCCAAAGAGCTACTGGTCTTGAGAATCACTGTGAAGCTATTTAAAAGTTGTCTGCCCAGGGTCCTTCCCCAGAGAGGCTGGTTTCACAGACTAAGGTAAGGCCTAGGTGAGATCGCAGCCTCCCATTCAAGTAATTTCCAGTAACAGCTATCTTTCCTTATTTCCAAGTATGTTTCAGAATCTCACAGACCCTCCTAAAATTATTTCATCATTAATTTAATTCCCTTCTAAGCATGACATAATTAGTGTTAAATTTTAACAATGATTGTACCATATAATATGGCACTCAAAATAACCAAGGTGGTTCATTCAATAAAGGCAATTCATCAGTAACTACAAATAAATGGACTTACCCGTTCCACAGCTGCATTATGAAATGGGAGCTCCTCCTCACTGCAGAGAATAACATATGTGAAATAGTTGAAATCAGAGCAGACTTTTAAAAATTATTTATGTACAATGATGTACAATATTTTTTGCCACCACGAGAGTTATATAAGCTTCCATTCCACTGAATTTAACAGAAAACTACTTTTCTGTAACCACAATGTCCTTATCTTATTTCTAGATCTGCCCTGTCCAATTCAGTAGCTATGTGTAGCTATTTAAGTGTAATTTAAAATTCAATAAAATTCAGCATTATTCAGTCTCATTAACTATGTAGCTAGAGGCTGCCATACTGAACATTTCCTTCACTGCAGAAAGTTCTACTGGATGATGCTGCTCTAGAACCAGGATTCGGCAAACTTCTTCTGTCAAGGTAAATAAATACTTAAATAGTAAATATATTTGGCTTTGTGGATCATACAATCTTTTTCATAACTATTCAACTCCTGAGACAATAGTGCAAAAGCAGCCATAGATAACATGTTGACTGACTATGGCATTGTTCCCACAAAAAATTTTATAAAATCAGGTAGTGAGCTTGATTTGGCATACAAGTTGGTCTATCAGCCTTTACTCTAGAGTCCAACTAAGGTGTATAATAATTGACTGTTTCAAAAATTAGCATAGTGTTGAGGATGTAGTTTAGTGGTAGAGGGCTTGCCTAGCATGCACAAGGACCTGGGTTCAAAGGCTAGTACCACAAAAATAAAAACAAACGAATAAAAATTATCATAAAGAAAAAAAGCTTCTAGGGGATTTGTGAATGAAAAAGTAAAATTCCACTTTCATTCTATACAATAAAAAAAGCAATTCACTGTTAAAACTTTAAGAGATGAATTTTTAAAAAATACACTCTGTTGTCATGTATTTAAAAAAATAATAATAGAAAAAGAATTCATTTACATCTATATGTATAATCCGAATTGTAATGCATTCTATTGTCATATATAACAAATTAAAATTTAAAATTTTTTTAAAAGACAAAGAAAAAATACAAAACCAATCAAATTAATTTCTTTGGCATAGAACTTGTGTAATACTAGAATTCTAATATAAAATAATCTGAGACCTTTACATTAACAGTCAGTAGTATAGAAACAATGTATTATTCATAAACTAAGTATTGTGCTTTCAGTGGCTTTCAAAGTAGTACTGATGTTTCAGCAACAACATGTACATAGTTTTCCCTAAAACTAAACAGTACCACTTTGACAGATCAGTATTAATAAGTTCAGTGATTCCAAAGACACTCTGGCTACTTTGCAAAGTCCTTATTTGAACCCTTAAGCCACAGAAATGGAACTGACAAGAAAAAATGTATTAACCAAAAGAGATCTTAAAGAGTCCAAATCCCTCACTTCACAGATAAGAAAACCAACATTTTCATTTAGTCATTTAACCTAACATCGCAATGCTCAGCACTATCTAATCCAGTGGATGCAAATGGAGCTCTTTAGCTAGCACAAGAACACAGGAAGAAAAGGGATGGAGGGAGAGAAAGCAATTCTGAGGAAGAAAAGAAACTTTTGAGGTTTAAAATTAAAAGCCTTCAAGATGGATGAGACAGCAAGAATGTTAGTTCAGTTTCCCTATGCAGTTTTTTTGCATTATTTCTTATCTCTAAAACTCTTCATAAAGAATCTGCTATGTGCACACACACTGCTCTCCACAAAACCTTGCACTCCTACCTCTGTTGGCAGATGCTAATGTGTACAGTCTTCCAAGGAGCTTCCTGGCCTCATCAAGACCTCTGTGCCATGTTCAGAAGACACTTGGCATGCTGAGGTCAATGTTGGTGAATGACTGTGTGGACAGAAAGATGAATGCATACCTACGTGCGTGGATACATCTTTACCTTGCCACTCAAATATCCTTCACGCAGAAAAGAGGAAGGACCGCATCTGGGTGAATACAGAGTATTTCTTTACATCAGCAAACTACAGCCCATGGGTCAAGTCTGGCCCATTGCTAGTTTTGTAAATAATGTTTTAATGGCTATGCTCATTGATTTGGGCGTTGTCTATGTGTGTTTTCATGCTACAGTAATAGAGTAGTTGTGACAAAGACCATATGGCCCCCACAGAGCCAAAAACATTTAGTATTGACTCTTTACAGAAAATGTTTGACAACCCCGGTTTTAGGGAATAAGGGCTTAAGGGCACCTAAAAGTTGTTTTTTAAGTAAAATAACAATATTTCCTCATGGAAATACAATAACTAAAAACAATGACATAGTCATCAGGGGAAAGAGAGAGATTTTAACTGGATATAGTTTTCATCCACTATTAAACTTGAAATGTATTACTAATTAGAGTATGTGTGCTTATGATTTCTCAACAGTTCAGAGAGAATACTTCTGTCACTAAGATAAACGTTCATTTGGAAATTTGAAACTTAATTTGTTAAGATCAATAAGCTTAATACATTACCTAAATTTAATTTTTGGTTTTGAAATAAGTTTTACCTAGCTAGTCAGTATGCACAGTATCAGTAGAAAGAGTTCTCAAGCTCTTATAAGCAAAACAGATAATCTTTAAAAACAAAAACACCTTTATTTTGGTTCTCATATGTTTATTCAGTCCTGGTAAACTACAGTCCATCTGCTAAATTCCATAATATACAAATTTGATAAGTAACTGAACATCTGATGCTTGCTATTAATTTATCTTTTTTATTTTTGATATAATTTCCTTTTAATTCATCTACTAATAACTTATGACCCAAAAGAATTATTTATCATTATCCAAATACCAGGCATTCTTTGTTGAGCAGATTAGCAGTTTTTGATTAGCATGTTTAAAGTTTTCCAACTTCTTCAATAAGCTTGATTTCTCTATCCACCAGCTGTAACCCCATCACAGGCACAGACTGGAGATGACACTCTATTCCGAAAACTAAACAAAAATGTTGCTGTTCCAACATGGGAGCCAGGCCGGTTTGGCAGCAGCTTTAATATTTATTGTGAAATCCACTGTGAAACCAAAGTATACTATATTTGTTAATCACTGCTCCTCCTTCACATATCATAACAAGTAATTTAAGTTTCCAAAACTATAATTATATTTGAATTCAGCTGCCTTCAGAGAAGACAACAATTTCAACAATTTTTTTTGTCATTTTATTGTATTGACGTTGAACTTAAAACCCAATTTCATTGCAGAACCAATCAAAAATTACAAATAACAGAAAGAAAAGCTCTTTCAATCAAGGAGTGACAGGGAGTAATATCTAAATGCTCACATCAAGTGACTTATTCAACAGTGAAAAAAAACTCCAGTCTACAGGGACATGCAACAAAACCACCAGCAGCAATCTCTGAAGAATGTGTTTCACTAAAATAAAGCATTGTGACAAAAATCAATGACTTTGGTGAAATTTAATAAAGCCTAACATTACACTCAAATCCATTTCTATGCTTCATTATTTTCATTTGTGCTACCTGCTTTCTGGCTGCTTCATGGAATAAATTAGGAAAAAAATTAGTATTTCAGTGTGACAAGTGGCAATTGGTTCATCTTCTAATAAGTGTTGAACTTGGCTATCTTAGCATCTATCTTGACAGACATGATCATTTCTAACAGTATCTTCATTAGACATTCTTCCTCTCACCCATCATCCATCCTTTCAATTTTTTTTCTAGGCATTTCATAGAACTTATTCTATATTTCTCTTATTAAAAATACAAGAAGGATGTAGCTGGTATTATACTACTGTAGTGCAAAACACATCCTCTGTGGTGAGACTGCCCAGATTCACCCCCCAAATCTGACATTGGGCAAATTATCTGACCTCTTCCTGCTTTAGTTTTGCTATATAAAAACAGGGAGATTTAAAAAAGCACCTACCTTGAAGACTATTTGAGAGGAATAAGTAAGTTAATTCATGTAAAGGTCTTAGAACACACTAAGTATTCATGAATATTAACTAGCATTACTAACCTAAGTTATTGACTTTTTTCCAACTAGAAGCCAAATGAACCTCAACACAGAGTGAAAAACAAATTTAAATTAACTGTTTCTAAGACCAAATTCATGTTGTTTCCAGCAAAAAGAAGAAAATTTAGGCAATTAAGAGACCACTTTGGAATGCACAAATTTTTCTTATGGACTTCATACTATATTAGACCATTTTATGATAAAAACATTATTACTGTGGTTCAGTCCCATCAGAAATACCTAGGAAAGTCAAAAACAACTGAACTGTATCCTATTTTCTGAATCAAAATCTAGTATAGAACCCCAAATGTTTTTTATTTGTTTAATTTTTCTACCTAATTCTTATTTGCACACAAATCTGAGACCTATAGACTTTAACAGTCTTAATGCTCAAATTAGGACTTCAAAACTTCATTTACATGAGGGAACTACATATTGACCCACAAGAATGTGTACTCATTCCCTGTAACATTTGTGGTCAAGTTTGATTTAAAAGACAGGAGAGGTTAAGAACTGTATTAAATACTGCTCTGCTAGTCCAATGAAATTCAAAGTCTTTTGATTATAATACCTTGGGAAAAAGTTTCAGATGTGTAATGTCTAGTATTTTTCCAGAACTTAATAAAGCATTCCTACATTTTATTTCTTCCAAGGCTCAATACTCTTAAGGTACACAAAGCAATTACTGATTCCTGTTTTCAGGTAAAATGGTTTATAGTTTACTGACCAGGGACCAGCAAAGCCACAAAAAGCACACAGAGATATTCCTAGCTTTTCCCTATGTACAATAAACAAATCTGGAAGAGTAAATTTGAATGAAAAGTCAGTTAATTCTTAAATTGTATGTAACAAATGTATAGAGATGAATAGAAGTCTCTAACCTATGGGAAGCTGATTCAACAATACCAGAATCGTAACAAGCAGATTCACATCATCTTGTGGGATGTTTTTTAAGAGTCAAAATTCACTTTCACTGTTTTATTGTAGTGGTCTAGGTTTCTCTTAACTCTTTCTTTATATAATATACTCACGATAAATGGGATTAATTTTGAGAAGCAATATCATGAATACATTTATAGTAGGGAAGATGAATGGCGTTTCTTTTCATTGCTCATTTTTAAGCTACATAACCCTAATGTTCTAATTGCCAATTATTTTTAAAATGCATTTATATGAAATTAAATATTTTGTAATTATTCTAGAAATATAATTGTTATCCATGTATGTTTAATTCTGATAAATTATTAATACAACTCATTTATTGCATTTAATATTCTTACCAAAACCCCCAAAATATTAAACTCTATTCTTAACTATATAGTTCAATTTAAATCAAAAGGTTAAAATTCCAGGAATTTAGTATCAAAAAGTATATTGTCAGACCATTGCTGGAATTATATTCATAGAAAATCTATTAAAAATAAAAAAACAATAGGTGACCATAGAAACATTAAAATATAAAACATTAGCTTTCAATCTATGTGACTTACTGTAAAAAGCCAAATCTATCCGTGACTTTGTAAACAAGGTAATCCGCATCTTCCCAAGGTTCAATATCTGCACCTTCTCGTCCCTAAAACAACAGACAAAGGAATTTATAAAACTGGATAATTTTTTTAGAAAGATCCAAAATCAAGAACATTTTTTTAAACCTAACTCTTTGGGGTAATATGCTAGTCCTAGTTGTAAGCTATGAAGACACTGTGTGTCACAGAGCAGCTGACAAGCAGCTGAGCCTGATGAGACTGAGCTCCTGAGGGAAGCTGATGAAGCTGGAGCAGCAAAGAGGCTAAGAAAGCCACCCAGGAGGAATTGCCAAACTTTACAAGTTTTACAGTGAATATGTCTTAGAAAACTCATTTTCTTGTCTTCCTCCAAATTTGTCAAAAGAACAGGTTATGTACTTTGTCTCTCTACTGCTTTGCTTCACAACTACATTAGCTCTGAAATGACTCTTGCCACAGTCAACTCTTGCTCTTCCAATTGTGAGACCCAGTGGACACTCTTCAGTCCTTACCTAATGAAATGTGGGGCAAATTGATCAGTGTGGCTTGCTCTCTCCTCCCCTCTTCCATGACACTCTGCCCTGGAAGTTCTCTATAGGCCTCTCTAACTCCTCCTCTGATGGTTTTTCATGAATGACTTAACTGCTGATATGCCCAGACTTCTGTCCTAAGCCCACTGCCCATTTACTTTTAGGCTGTTAATTAGTCACATATGACTATCCACACCAATCCCTCAAATTTTAGATTCAAACATGCAACTATCTTGTGGACATCTCCATCTGAATATGTTTTATAATATTTGCTCATATTCTTTGAGTAGACTATGAGCATCTTGTGGGCAAGGACTGACGAAACTCATTTCTGTGTTATAACATGGAAGAATCCCCAGTCTTGTGTTAATTATGTGTTGGGGGGGGGACATGGAAGTGTGAATGAATGAGAGTGCTTTTTATGAGTTTCACATTAGCTAAGCAGTTAAAAAGGTTAACTAGATTTTTCACAGACCATGCTAAAACCTAATCACAATAATGAGAAACTGTTCCAAACAACCAACTTAAAAATGAACTCTGAGAGGCTGGGGTATAGCTGGGTGGCAGAGCACTTTGCCACCCAGTTCAATCTCCAGTACCTCACCCCAACCCCAGATTCCCAAAACCCCAGCAAATTCTGGAAATTGTTAAGCTGAATATTGCCTATATGCCTCCCTGGAAGCAGGGCATGGTGTAGATGGCTTATTATTCTCACAAATAATAAAAAATAAAAGCTATACAATTACATGCAAGCAATGCAAGTATTAAGTATGACATTTATAAATAATACTGCAATTCATTAACCTCAGAAGGGTAATAAATAAGAAGTGAAAATTATCAACAATTGTGATTTTCTAGGACATCAAAAATCAGATTCCACTGGACATAACTTTCCTGTGTTCATATGTGAATACACAGCCAGATAATGCCACACCATGACAACTATAAGAATGGTCTCCTAAGTAGAGTAAGTCATACTCTATGTATGTATAACATGCCAAAATACACTGTATATGTGTATCTAAAAAGAACGAATAAAAAATAAGTAAATAAAAATCAGATTCTATTCTAATGCAAAGACAAAATACTAATGAAAATTACCTATGAATGTATAAATACAAAATCTAAGGTCTATTGTAAATTCACAACACACAATAGCACACATAAATTATGAATACAATGAGTAAGTAACTCTATTTACTCAATTACTCAAGTACTTATTGAGTACCAAGAATGAGTCGGGAACTTTTCTGGGTATTTAGAGTACAAGAGCAAATCAAACAACAATAACAAAAATCTTCCCCTGAGAATTTACATTCTAGGAGAGAGAGCAAAAAACAAAGTAAAATATATAGAATGGTGATGTAATAAGTATTACAGTGAAAAATAAAGGGGATACAGTGTGCCAAGGGATAGAAAGGGGAGGGAATAAAAAGGGAGGTTTTTATTCCCTTTTTACTATCTGAGTAAAGACCTGAAAGAAAGGAGACAAAGAGGCTTGAGAATATCCAGGATATAAATATTCCAGGCAGGGGGAATAACCAGTGCAAAGGCCCTGAGGCAGGATCAAGCTTTTTGTTTAAGGACAACAAGAGAACAGAGTGGCAAAAAGGAGGAAGAGAGAATTTGGAGATGAATTCAGAGAAAAAAAAAGATAAGCTCCAGGTTTTCATGAAGTAAACAAAATGCCTCTGTAATTTAAGCTTTCCAAAAGCAAATCCCTTTCTATTTATGTGATTTTTCTAATAAAACTTACTCATAGAGTAAATATGGATACTTACTCGGTCATATTTAGCAACTATTTCAGCTCGTTCCTGGGCAAGTTTCAGTGCTACATCCTGCTCCGAATCTGCAGAGATCAAATTTAGATGAAGTGTTATTTTAAGGATCACAAAGTTAATTATGAAACAAAACAAAACCAAAAATCAAACAAAAACTAAAACTTCCTGAAATGAAGTATCAAATAAACTTATAAAAATTAAGTATTCATAATACAATTTTAGAATATCAACATATCTACCTTTTCAATATTATGAATGATATTCAAAAGAAAGAAAATTTACTAACAGCATAAACATCAGGACAAATAAATCTAAGCCTTCAAGAATTGGTTTTAGATCTAAAATTTCATGGAAGTAAAACTGAAACAGAAAGTTTTGTCTTCAGATGAAATCCACTTGGGCAGAACTTGAGACCTTCAAAAAAAGTGTTAAAAAGTGGCAGAAAAGGAGAAGACTATTCAAAAAGGGTTTTTAAAAGTAAGGTAATTTCTCCACAAAATAAACTAGTGTAAGAAATATTTCAGGAGTTACTAAAAACTTTGTATCACATGATGATGACATTCACATCTTCATTTAGCTTTTCAGGCCTGTAGATTAGTTAGTTGCCTCAACTACAATAACAACCTCCTAGCTAATCACCAGGCCTCCAGCTCACAACATGCAAACCCACAGCCTTCTTCCTTATTAAAGGCACAAATCTGACAACAAAAGCAGAGATCATAGCATGAAATAGTATGGATATGATTATGTATCCCAAGTATCATAAATGAAAATAAAAGATCATAGACAGATTGTATAAATGGCATTTCCAATTAAGCAGCAAAGACAGCATTACAAAAGAAAACTGGGTGAAGGTCAAGAGCTAAAAATTCACAAGAGTAATTTGCAGAAGCAACAACTATGTTTGTGTTCTTACCAAGTGTCTGCTAGGAAGACACTGCCAGGCAGAAGACACTGCACTGAGCCCTTTACCATGCCTCTCACATGTAATTCTCAGAATACTCTAAAGCAGGTATCACTAGTAATCCCCCACCAAGGTTAAATGAGGTTTGAAGATTTCAAGATCATAAAGGTAGGAAAAATTAAACTAGAGTCAAAACTAGACAGTCTTGACTCCATAGCCCACAACTTCAACCACTACTTTATTACTAAAAACACTAAAAGGATTTCCAGCTAAAGATGGCAGATGGAACACACCTTTATATCCATTTCTCCTAAAAGCCTATTAAAACAACAACCATACTAAAATGAAACTCCCTCCCTCAAAGCACCAGAAAACTTTGGTTCCTGAAGAGAGGAAAGGGTGGGGTTAAAAACAAGGGAGTAAAGGGAATCAAGTCCCTGAGAGTTGAAGGGATGGATATGTGTGGCCAGAGGAAGGTGCTGGGTAGAGGACCAAGCCCTTATTCTCCAAAGCAGGAAGCCAACAGATAATGCCAAAACTGAAGAGCAGGAAGTGGCAGGTCAGCGTGCTACCTAGAGCATGAAAGTGGTGGAGTGTGGTTACTCCTATGCAGTCGGCATTGAGGAGTACGGGAGTCAGCTGTTTCCAAAAAAGTCTTAAAAAGACTGCTAGATCTCTAAGCTAAGTAAAGCTCTGATAAAAATAAAATCTAAATTTAAAATAACAAGATATGGGAAAAATACACCTCATTAGTAACTGAAGAAGTATGTTTTAAAATATCACATTGCCTCTATCTCAGACTAACCAAACACTGCACTGATATTACTCAATGCTGACCAAGAGTGTGGGGGAATGTGCAGTACCTTCATGAAATCTTTCTGGAAGGTAATTCAATAATAAGTCTCAGAAATCTTATCAGCAATCATATCCTTTACCCAATATTTCACCTCTAGGAATTCATGCCAACAAGATAATCAAATAAACACAAGGATGTTTATAATAGTAAAAATGGCAAAAATGAGAACTGGTAATTTTTAAAAGTTTTTTTGGGCAGTGTGTTTATGTTCCTACTTATGTTACCACTAAAGACTGGTTAAATTTTTACAATGCACTAATACAAACAAAAGTTTGAAATAATCAACATAACTAATAAATACATCTAAGTCTTCAAGGGTGGGGAAAACAAATGAATAAAAATTTAATTCAAACTAGGGAACTTGACTATTTATTAAACTCTGTGTCAACTATCAGAGCCACTAAATATGGATTACTTTGGTGATAAGGCCAAATTCAACAGATGAATTTTTCTTGGAATGTGTTTTATGTCAGTCCTTTATTCCTGCTTCTAGTCCTAGGAGTCTCAACTACATTTACAACACAACAATGAGAAGTTTACAAGTATAAAAGCAGGAACTGGAAATGGAATGGAGTTGGGGGGAATGCCAAGTGTCCCCAAAAGACTTCATTATGGCAAATTGCAAAATATAAGTATTCACAGGATTATCACCAGGCTAGAGAGTTCGAGAAAAGAAAACCTAATTATGTAATAGAGACAATACTGGAACTGGATGAAACTGCATCCTGACTTTCTGAGTGGAAGATCATATAATTTAACAGGCCCAGAACAGTTGATTCTAGTCAGGTAAGTAAGTTCTAAATTTTTAAATCCCCTTAGAAATTTTTTATCCTTACATTTACCCGTGGGAAGACATTTTTTGAAATATTAATGAATGTATGCTACAAAGAGAGAGTGGATTTAAAACAAAACCAAATTTTTAAAAATACAGCCAAATCTGCTTCTTTTTAGAAAACTAAACAGAATGTCAATCTTTCCCAATAGTGAAGCTAAAGACATTGTTTAATAATCTACACTGAGAGGCAGTCATCTACAGAATAAGAAGTAGTATCCTTACGCAGGGTTAACTATAGTTCAATAATGTTGTGATGGTCAGGTCTCTAGTTGAAAAGTTTATTAAGAATTGTACTAGAATATTCCCTTTGGTTCATTCTGATTGCTTATTTAGAAATTCTATTAAACAATACAAAGAACTTAAACCAAAACATTGGCCACAAAGACACCAATAGCTATCTTGTGTCTCTGTGCAAGTATGCACAAAGTTCCAGGCACCTACTAAACAATGACAGCTGTGTTCATTGGTACTTACATCACATACCATTATCAAATAAAAATTTAATCAGGGCATTATGCCATTAACTTACATCATATCTTATATTCCTCCTGCATGATAAATTCATAATTAACAAGTTAATTTGAAAAATTTGCTTTGAAGTAAAATAGTTTTTGTTGCCAAAACATTACAGTAATCAAAATTTTGTGCAATATGGTTGTTAGACTAAATATAGTATAAGAAACAGTTCCTATCATTAAAAGTAAAACTATGTTTGGGGGGGGGAATCACTCTCTTACTCTTTTTTTGAGAGAGAGAGAGAGAGAGAGAGAATTTTTTAATATTTATTTTTTAGTTTTCGGTGGACACAACAATTTACCTGGTGCTGAGGATCGAACCCAGCGCCCCGTGCATGCCAAGCGAGCGCGTTACCACTTGAGCCACATCCCCAGCCCCCACTCTCTTACTCTTAAATATTACTCTCTTACTTCACCAAATTGTTAGTTTAACACTCCTGGTATACAAGAAAATATCTTTGGGCACAAATCGATGGAAGAAAATCACAACTATACTATCTTAAGAAGCATTTTAAAAACTGACAACTATTGAGATTTTGAGACCTCTATTTCCATTTAAAACCCCTACTCAAAAAAAGCTTTTTAAGAATCAAGTATCTCCCTGAATTACATTCTTTAAAAATAGAAAAGTTCATAAACTTTTGTGTTATAAATTTAGTGTTATATCTAAATTCCTGTTTAATGTCACTAAATTAATTCCAAATTCATACAAAGTTACTAAATTTAAAAAGTTTCAAATTCAATCCAACAAAACAAAATTGGTGGCAGACAGTTTTCTTAGTGTACACTTTGACAAATGAGTGCTATATATGAAACATACTCAGTTTTAAAAATACTTTACCCTTTGTTGGATAATCGGTCTGTCCTTGGGAATTGACAGCTGCTTCAGTCCTCATAGAGTAACTTATCTATTCCAAGCTTTCATTATTATGTTACAGTTCTCAAACACACCAAGGGTGCCAGGTGGTACCTTACACATGCTGCACTAACTAAAACAAAAAATGAGAGGAAGGAGCTCACTTTAAACTACATGCGAAACAAGCAGAACAAAGTTTGAGATGCAGTCTGTCTTGTTCCAAGAGTGAAAAAAGACCTCACTGTGGTTACATGTACTGTAGATATCTGAACAAAGATGATATTTGTTGAGAGTGAAAACATGTCTTTCAGGCTAGATCTCAACTACAAGCCACACCAGCCTACACCCAGCATTCCATCTAATAAGCAATGGGGGTTTTAAACAAGAGGCTTCATAATTTGTTCCAATCTTGTGCTTCAAAATTAGCCATATTCTTAGTACTTTTAATAAAACCACAGAAGCAACAAAGAACACTTTTATTTCAAACAGTAAACTCAAGTTAAATAGAAATGCTTTTCTCCTTAAATACAAACTTAAATATATTTCATATCTTAACATAATTTAAAAAATATTTTAGTTGTAGATGAACACAATATCTTTATTTTATTTATTTATTTTTATGTGGTGCTGAGGATCAAATCCAGTGCCTGACATGTGCAAGGCAAATGCTCTACCACTGAGCTACAACTCTAGCCCTCTTAACATAATTTTTATTGTGAAAATTTCAGCTGGATTCAGACAGTAAATAAATACATACTACAATAGGGGTCTGGACATTTTTAATACACCACAAACCTACAGGTGAAAGGAAAGGTTCGTGAAAAAGTGTAAGTTCTACAGGATGACAATATGAACTTTTCTATTTTATGTATTCCTTTCTTCTTCTCATTGTTGCTTCCCTTAAATGAAAAGGGATTTATAATTTGTAAACCACTTTTCAAAAGTAAAAGCCCTGTCAAATGCATGCCTTCAAACATTAATTATACTTAACAGCACGCTAATGAATTAAGTTAATGCTCAGCTGAAACCAGTTGTAACATTCAGCAAAAGCAAAAGATCGCAGAAGCATACAGAAAGGAAAAATGTCAAGTCTTACGTGATG